TCAGTATTATATCATAATATCACATCATATTCATGCAGTTTTCAGTATTATATCATATATCACATCCTATTCATATCATATATTATATCATATTATATATCATATCATATATCATATCATATATCATATCATATATCATATATCATATCATATATCATATCGTATCATATCGTATCCTATCATATCATATATCATATACTCATTACATTTTTTGATGATGTGTCATGCTTATAATCTTTTATTGATGGTTCAAAAATTATAGTTTATTAAGAATTTATTTTATTCTTTAGTTATAGGTTATGGTCTTATGGTCTACACTTCTGGTCCTAATAAAAAAAAATGATACCAATGAGGAATTTTATAGAGCCATCTATAATGATTCTGAAGTCTCAGCAGCTTGCCATCCACACAACTCCAACTCATGATGTAGTGATTTATTCAATCACACAGACATTTTTCAAATATTCAATTACATATAATATTCCTTATCTTGGCATTCTTTGGATACCTTCAACCAGTTGTAGTTTTATATTATATATTCATGTAATTATGAATTATCTCACTGTTGTTCATTCTTAGAATGTTATTATTTTTCATTGTAGTTTCTTGTTATTTAACGTTGTTGTTATCAAATACTGAATGTTAATGATATTTTTTTTATTATTATTACTGCGTCTGCTTTATGGAAGGTCACTTCCCTGCAAGACTACTTGAGACATTTTGTGAAGGTTTTTTGAAAAAGAATGTTCGTATGACTTGAATTTAATATTATTTTCCACAAAAAAGGCAATAGTAATAATAATAAAGTAATACTGTGGAAATAATGCATGCTAACTTTCATTGGTTGAACATTAAAACATAAAAGTCTTGGATCTGAATATTAATTGAAGTTTGAAGTTGTTAAAGTTAAAATGGCTCTATAAAATTCCTCATTGGTATCATTTTTTTTTATTAGGACCAGAAGTGTAAGGATAGGTAAGTAGCACCAAACATTTCTTCAGATCAACTGAAGCACAAACTGTTGAGATTCTTTGTAATTTTAGTGTTTGAATGAGAGTCACTGTTTGGTTTAATGTAATGTTTCTCAGTGCTTCCCAAATTGCAATTATTATTACTCATTTGAGTGAAATTAAAATGTGAAAGTAAAGTTATTAATACCATTTAATCATTGTCTGAAAACTGAAAATGGAACATGTGTTTTCATTCTGTTGTAGATTAAAAACAGAATGTAGAGAAAAGTAATCTATAGCCATAATTACACTTGTTTAGCACATTATTCCACCATTTTTCATATCATGAAATTCTGTTTAGCTTGTGCAAACTGTGTTAAAAGCTTTGGTTGCTACATAGAGGTGCATGCTTCTGTTTCTAATGGTTTTATGTTATATTTATATACTGTTATTTTTTCACATAGAGGCATTGTATCAGTTGAAAATTTTGAAAAAGTAGAACTTAATGAATGGTAATTTTATCCTCAAAGCATCATTCACAGTGATAGCAGAATGTTTTACGTGGAATGTTGCAGTAGTTTTCTAGTTCTCTAGACATGAAATGTATGATACTATCAATTGGAAATATTGTTTTATTGACAATGTTCAGCTTGGTTTATATATCATATTGTAATCGTGAAATAAAAAGCATTGATTAGAAAATATGGCACTTTAGAGTTAAGGTTAGAGACTGAACAGCAATTAATAAGCATGAAAATGTCATAAATATTATATAATAAATAGTAATAATTGCTGAATATTATAAATGATTAGATTGTTTGAGGTATGTTGAGTACTACTTCCAAATGAACCCACACCCGTAAAAGCAGGGCTTGCAAATTTGAAGAAACTCCTTATTTTTTTTTTAAATAGACAGACAGGACAACAAAGCATTTGAAAGGTAGAATCTGTTGCTTGTGAGTAGAATAAAAAGCATATTGCTCTTCTTTTGTTTGTGTAGATGATGAGGATGACGTAAATTGTTGATGATGATGATAATGGTGATAATATTGATGATTGGGGTGATGATGATGAGGAAAGATTTAAATAAGATGATGATAAAATGAGATGGTGATGATGATAAAATGAAATGATGATGTACGTTTGTACATATTTTTGAAGTGCATTTGTTTATATTGTGTCAGTTGGCATGTTTATTTGTTATACATTTGTGATACATGTATATATATGCAATGCATATGCGTTCCTTCGTTGTTTAATGTTTTTCCTTCTTTTATTTTTCACGTTCTATCTATCTACTTTACTGCTGGCGTTTACAGATTTTTTTATATTGTTGATTTGTGTTGCAATTGATAATAATAAAATTTTTAGTAAGGATAAGGTTGATAATAATGACGATACTACAACTAATACTTCTACTACTACAACTACTACTTCTACTACTACTGCCTCAACCACAGCCGCTACTACTACTACTATTGTTACAACTACTGGTACTATTTTTACTCAAACTAGTTTCATTGCTATTGCTATTACTATTTCTACTAATACTGATGGTAATAATAAACTGCAGCAGTATTATGTTTAAAATATATTTTTTAAAGGATTTGTTTGAGAGAAGAATTATGTTGATATTTTACAGCATTATGTACAATGATGAATTAATACGAACGAATATTTTAAACAATGATGAATTCATACAATAAAAATATCTCTATCCCGTTCAAACAGTACAAAAAAAGCTGACTATTTTTCAAGATGCATAAAAAAATTAAGCTGAGTATGAACAAACATAACTCATCTTTGTACCAACAAATCACAGTGCAGCGAGATACTAATGCTATATTGTTCATAAAAAAATAGCTGCTCATCCTATTAGGATTTTCGCATTTACATTATAGTCTTATGAAGTGACATTTTTCATGTTTTAAGTAAAAAATTGAAAATATTAAATTGTTCTCTGTACTGAAGAAAAGATTTGTTTGCCGTGATTATTGAATTGGAAATTTAATCAGAGATAAACCTGCAAAGAATTTTTTGCTTTATTTTGCTGTATATCGTTGTATTAATTTTAGCTTTAATTCTTAATTTCATTAATTATTGTTATTATTATCTATTTTTTTTATATTATTGTTGTTATTATTTTCATTGTTTTTAAGAACATAATGTAATTAATAACTTCATATAAGTCACTTCAATATGTAGGCAGAGCACGGCTTTCAACATCTTCATGTTGTAAAGCCTGGGTGAATTTTATTTATAAAAAAATCAAAGTTTAGCTCTTCTCAAGATATCAAGTATGTTAATGTTTAACCTGATCCTCTTTTATTTTATGCAATGTCAAACTTTGATATTTATTTTTATTATTCTTATTTTTTTCTTGTTATATTTTTGTTGTGATAATCATCATCATCACCATCATCATCATCACCATCATCATCATCATCACCATCATCATCATCACCATCATCATCACCACCATCATCATCATCATCATCATCGTTATTATTATTATTGTTGTTGTCGTTATAAATAATATTGTTATTATATTTATGATAGCTAGCTTTATTATTGTTGTTGTTTATATAGCTACATTGAACAACCACTTTTAAACAAACCCCGTTACTACTGTCGTCTTTGCTAGTGTTATCATTGTAGCTGCTATTATGTTTCATATTGTTATAAAATAGATTATAAATTTTTTTCAGTCTCTCAATAGCTTGAGTTTTTTCCCAACTGCGTAAAAACGCAGTGCTGTAAGTTTGCTGCCGTACTCTGGCTATATGGTAAGGTAACATACTTAACTTTGTAATGTTATTTACTTCAAAAATCACTTCAGCCTGAATGAATTATTATTTGAGATTTTTTTCATACCTCTTAAACAGTTTAATTTAATGTCTAAATCATTTTTTAATTTAATTTCTTGCCCAGAAATTTTGAAATATATTTCTTTATGGTTTAATTTCATTACGTTACAGCAGTTTTAGTTAGGTTTTATACATGAATTGATTAGTTGTTAATAGGCCAAGTTGTTTGCTGTAGCTAAAGATGGGTGCCTACAATAGAATTAAAATAAATTAAAACTACTAACTTTATCATTATTAACTATTTTGCATCAATATCACTTTTACATAAACCAGGTTTTACATAGCAGAAATGCAGCCTAAGGAAGAAACACTTAATGTATTTTCAAAAATGAGCGTGTACATTTAAAATATTGGTTTCATGCTGTTACACACATTCATAGAGATCGTATTTCACAATGGCAACTTTTCCAATTATTTGTGCAATATTAATGAATACATATATTCTGCTAGTGTAGATCGGTTCCTGGCTGATGCTGGGTTTCCATTTATATATGCACCATTTGTTATGTTTTGTTAGATCGTGTTCATGATAATAGAATAAAAAATAATTTGATTGATGCATTGAATCACTGGCCATGAATATAATTTGATGAGGCATTGAGAGAGGAGGAGAATGATGAGAAAGTATAATAGGCTAAGAGTATAGAAAGTGCTGGGTAAGGAGATTGAGAGAAAGAGAGAAGGGAGATAGAGAGGGAGAGAGAGGGGGGAATAGATAGGGAGATCATTTTTTATGGACAAAAACATTTCCTTTCCATCTGCAATCTAATAAATTTTTTATCCATTATCTTTTTTTATCTCTGCTTCTGAAGTGCGGAATGGCGACATCAGACAAAACTATTAGTTTCAACTTTTAAAACTTGGCAGGCCATTCACTTGTTCAATTTTTGTTTTCAAAGTTGTGAATTCGTTTTTAATTTGTTATACATTACTTCGTTTGTATGTTCGTCTGTGTGTGCATGTAAATTGATAATATTGATGATGAAGGTGTGTGGTTGAATGAAATTTGATGGTGATAACAATGTCAAAAATGATTATATTATAGCTTTGATGTTTGTTTAAAACTTTAAATAATGATTTTGTTTTACACTTTTAAACGAATATATATGTACCAATATGCTATATAATATAACAATCAACTTTATCATTTTATGTTTTCTTTAAGAATTTTAAAACTTTGAAAATGCTCAATGTTCATCATTCACAGAAAAAAGTGCCAGAATTTGGATTTTCCATTTCTTTACAAGACTCCAGCAAGACACTAGATGATGTAGACCAACAGAATGTTCTTGATGTTTTCAGGTTTGTTTGTTTGTTTTTCGTTGTTTGTTCATTTGTCTTTAGTTGTTTGTTGTTTATGCATCATATTCAAGCTTTTAATTTTACAGATGAAAATTAGCTTGCGTTAACTTAATGAGGGACTCTGAGAGACTTTCCCAACTATTTTCTTATCTATTTAACCATTATTATATCAATGCTAATCTTGTTTTTTGAGAAAAAGTTGTACTTCTATTAATTTTTTCACTATTCTGACAATGTTAATTAACAACTTTGCTCTTCTTGTTAACAAGATTGATGTTATTTTTGTGATTACGTGTTGCTGTTATAAAATGTTTAATTGCTGTTAAAATTTTTTTAATATAAGTGCCATAGTTTTCTTATAATTAAAAATTAATAGTATTTGTAGTAATATCCTTGCTACCAATCTTTATGTCTCTCAGCTGGATAGTATTATTTGTGGATGATATTTGCTGGTCCACTTGTTTTTTTTTCCTGAAATGTAGAAAGTACTGTAGAACAAATTATTTCTAAGTTGTTGGCCTAATGAAAATATGAATTAAATGGGAATTAATTTATGAATACTTAATTTATATTTAAATGTAACTAAGAAGGCTTGGTTAGTTTTGGCAGCATAAATCATATACTAGCATCAGTTTGTCATGTTAAGACTCAAGTTTTAGTTAACTTAAAACTGAAACGTTTTTCAAATTTCATTTTTTTGTTTAACCTAGTGTATATCTGATACTCTATAAACGATATATAGTTATATATAGAGTGATATATAGAGTGAACTATAGAGTGATATGTATAGTGATATATAGAGTGAACTCTATAAACGGTATTATAAGATAGGAATATTAATGATAGAAATAATGATACCTTATACCAGTAAGATGTTGGGTGCATGTGCTAACGTGGAGAAGAGACTGGCGGAACAGTACATTGAGATGAGTGATGGCATAGATAATAGAGTCATCCAAAATGTCCAGGCCATAGTTGATGTTAGTATTTTTCACCTTGTTGTTGGTCTCTTGTGGGTGTACTCTGATATATAGTGTACATATTCATATATTTGCATTTCTTTTATACAAATTCGTTTTTTAATGTTTAATGCTTTTTTTTGTAGTTTTTTTTTATTTTCAATTTTCAATTAATAGTCTTTTTTATTAGAAATATATTGTATCATATTTTAGTTAATGTCTTTGGCTTTATTTCTCTTGCGAACATTTTAGACTTTGAATTCCACCGTATTTGGTATATAATTAATTCAAAAAGTTTGTGCATCTGGTGGTTTCTAGATAAATTTGCTTAACTGTCCCAGCATTGTGTGATTATCAACAACTTTTTTTACCTTATAAATACAAGATAAATGGTGGTACTGCTAAACCACCGATCAATATTGATGATATCAATAATAATAATAATAATAATAAGTGTATTATCATCAAGATATTTGTATTATTGTATGTTTGCTTCAATTGTTCTTCAATATTTTATACAACTTATATGCTATTTTTCCTCTGTTGCTACTTCAGCTCATTCCTCCAACAGTGATCAATATCTTGCACTATTGATCTCAGTGTTGTTGTTTTTACTTTTTATATTTACTTGTTTGCCTGCTTCTTTCTGTTTGCTTGTCATTCTGTCATTATTTCATTTTTTCCCACCATACCATTCTATAAAATTATATCAGGAAAATAATTGATTGGCATTGGAACCATATTAGGCATTTGAATTGAATTCAATTCAGTTTAACCTAATCACTTTTTATATATTGACACTGTGTAGCGTCAATGATTGCCTTTCCAAAAAATGTTTCAGACATTAATCTGTCTTCACTACACACCGTATTTCACTTTGCAGTTCTGTGTGTTTAAATATATTAATTGCGTATGTAGGATTATTTTTGAGGCATTTAATATTTTTCTGTTGTGTTTTTTGTTAATGTCTTTTTTTCCTGAAAATCTATAAAATTTTTGCTGTCTGCATTCTATATGATCAGATATAATAGTTAGTTGTGTACTATATCTTTGTGTGTGCTGGTTTAAAGCTAATCATCATCTTCATCATTGTTATTATTATTATTATAAATTCCCTATATCATTCTTAGAGTGCTCAAAAAAACACATGTTAATCATCATTATAATCATTGTCAATCATCTCCAAACATATCAATTATCACAAATTGTATTTGGAATGCCTGTCATACAATGCAATCATGTGCAGAACATTATCAAGTTAACATTATCGTTACAATTAATTAGTTTATCATTTACTCTTAATTTTTGATAATGTTTTAGTGATTTTATTTAGCTTTTTTAAAAAAATAATATTAATATTTATATTTCTGTATTTGTTAATATTATCGCTGAGGTCATCATTTTAATCATCAGATCATTTTATCATATATCATCATCAAGTCTTTATCACATCTTCATTCATATCATCACATCATCATCGTCATCCCATTAATATTGCATAATCATTGTGTCATCATTATTTCATCACAGCCGCGTCATCATCGTAGTTTCACCATTACGTCATCATCATCACATCATCAACAGAAAGACCTGCCGGCCCTGATAAAAGTGAAGAACCAACTGACCAGTTGCATTCTAGATCTGGACACTGCCAAGACCAAATTGAAGTTTTTCTTCTTTTTTGTCATCAGCATCCAATTAATTATCACCTTACCGTCACTAACTATTATACCATTGTCATCGTCATCTCTTCATTACATCATCATCTTCATCGCATTCATCATCAGACCATCATCACGTCGTTTTCATCCTTGTTGATATATTTAATTTTTTGTTTTGTTTGCCAGTCTTCTAACTATTTCTTGACTTGTTCAAATGCTTTGTTCTAAGCGTAAAATATTGGCAATCATGCACTTGTTCTACATACTACAGTATGTTGCAGTATGTTACATAATTTTGTTGTGTCTTAGTTTCATTTTAGTTATACTTACATATACATATACATACATACATGTTTTTACTCAGATACACACATATTTGCATGCAAGCCACATACGTTCATTGTTGCTTTCAAACGAGTGTGGCCACTAATATTCCTTACTTATACATGTTTATGCAAACACACATTCACTCACAACCCAACACAAACACCAAACACACGCACACACATACACACACACACACCAAACACACTCACACACGTGTACACAGGAACAACCAGCAGATCCCATCGAAGGTGGACGCCTTGAGGGAGGAAGTGGAGCAGGCTGAGATGAAGATGGAACAATGCAGGGTTGGCATGTTGCTGCTGCTGCTTTTTGTACCTGTGTGCGTGTGTGTGTGCACGGACATATGTGCATGTATATGTGTGTTCATGTGCATGTACATCATGTGTGTATGTGCATGTGTGGGCATGTATGTGTGCGTGTGCGTACATGTGGAAATTTATGTTGTTTTTTTTACAGATGTGTCTTTGATTGAGATGCATTTGTTATACATGCACCTGTTTAAAAAGTTAACTGCCTCATCATTCACTCCAAATCAGTTAAGAAACAGTGTAAATCATGAAAAAAATTTATGAATGTCTGTACGGGCCGACGAACAAAAGCATTTACATACATTGATGTTGATAAGCAAACATACACACAGACACACGTATTCACAAACTCATATTTGCAAACAAAAACAAATAAATAACTGCATAAGCATACCTTCATATGGATGTCAAACAAGTATAAAATTAAATGGATATAGTGGGCTCATGTACACTTGCACTAACAGTTGGAGTAATTAAATCCACTGATACTAACACATAAAAACGCACACATGCAAACCAACATTCAGCACACACGCAGACTAACATATAGCCACACACGCACACGAACAAACACAGATACACACAACACACACGAACAAACAGACACACACACACATATATGCACACAACTAACATGCATACCTGCAGGACACATTCGAAACAGAGGTCTACTCATTTTTCTCGAGAGAGGCGGAGTTCTGTGGAATATTTCTATCGGTTAGTAACTGTTGCTGGTAGTTGATGTTCTTCATGTTTGTACGTATTTCCTATCAACCAGATAGACTCTGTCTATGTAAATAACAAGCATAGTATGTAAATGTACAAATGTATATGAATTATGTGTGTTTATATTTATTGCTTATGCATATGGTAGCGTTAGCATTTGTCAATTTTGTTAATGTATGCGTTTTTTTTAGAGTTCACTCTTGATATACATCAAGAGATGTGTGCACTGTGGATGTATGTGTGTACGAGCTCGCTTGCTTTTATTCTGTAGACGTGTAGGGCTTTACTGTTACAAAAATCCAGGGAAAACCTTTATTGGTGCAGTACTTGCATAACAATGCATGCCTCTAATGAAATGCCTGCTCATGTTATGCTTTACTGTGAAAATAACTGATGTGTTTCGTTGTTATTGTTATTACTATTATTTGTATTACTATTGCTGTTTTTATTATTTGTTGAGTTGTTGGTTTTGTTATGCAATTTGCTTTGGTACAGTTTAATTTTGTGTTTGTTATTAGTGTTATTGTTGTTTATTATGTTATTTCGTTCTTATTGGAACTATTTTTTAATTATTTATTATTGATGTTATGTAATTTTAAAAGTATAATATATTTTTGTTTATATTTAGGATTATATTTATTTATTTTGATTGATGATGGTTATGATACAAGGAGGAAAAGACCTCATGTTGAGTTAATCAACTTCAAACTTTTCTATTAAGTATTCTGACACGTTGTCATCAGCTGATTAATAAAGAATAATAGTAATAATATTAACGATAACAGTTATAATTATGAAAATAATAATAATAATTATGAAAGTAATAATAATAATAGATTTTCATGAAACTGTTTGTTGAAAGAACATGATAGATAAATTTCTAAGCTCATGGGCATTGAATGTTTATCATCTGATGCTAATTATTTTTAGTTCATGTCGATGCTTTTATTTTCCTTTCAGGAACAAACGTTTAAAAAATATTTCTCGCCTTACTTAAAGTTTGTCTTATGTTTATTACTAACAATACATTGTTCGTCGTGTTCGTAGAAGCGCCATGTTACGCGATGGCATGGTTAAAGAAACTGTCTGCTTAAAACTCATGTGTTGTGGTGTGGTGTGGATAGTGCAGCCTTTGTAGCACGAAAGTTTAATTGTAAGTATGGAATGACGAGTAGTTCTGCGTTTGACAGAGCTGCATTACAAAGGCCGAGAAAACTGTATAGAAAACATCATAGTTTTAAATTTGAATCAATATATGAATGAATTTATCAGATGAGGACATTATTTTTTATTAAAAGAAGTTTCTTGAGCTTATTGTGTTGAGTTTTTCTCTATCAGGGATAAACACAATGTATTATTATTGACACACATGGAATTGTACCAATGCAACTGTTTCTATTTGAAAAAAAAATTCAGGAAGTTTTCTTGTCTATGGATGCTATTATTGATAATTTGCTTATTCATTCATTATTCATTCATTCATTCATTCATTCATTCATTCATTCATTCATTCATTCATTCATTCATTCATTCATTCATTCGTTTATATATTTTCTATT